TTCTAAGCAAAATTCATATATTTTTAGGGGGGGTTTTCCGATGCGTTGAGGCGCAAAATGCGTTAGAGCTTACGGATGCACGGCCCTTTTTTTCCGGTGATGAAAATAGTTCTACTAATGAGAAGTATACTGTAGTTAAGTAAAAAATAGTCCGGCTAATCTTTGAGCATGGATAATACGTCTGGCAAGTGGAAAAATGAAAATTCGAAAAATTTCAGCCAGACTTACTTTCGAATATGTTCTATTGTAGTAAATGTGAAATATTTATGACTGGGAAAATAAGTGTACTTGTATTTTTCATTGATCTGGTGAACCCATCCGAAAATTTTTGCTAAACTCAAAAATTCCTGTTTTGTATCACCAAGAGAACAAACTATTTTATTTCCTAATAAACTATTACTAGTATAACCATATTGAGTGGTTACGATAATCATAAACAGGGTCCTAACTCCCTTGGGAGTTAAGGATTTCATAACTCCCGCTTTTACCTTGAATAGGTGAAACTTTGACAAAAAATAGAAATTTTGGTTTATGGTTTATTTCTTTATAAAAATGGACAAAATACAGTAAATTCAGTAGGAAATAAAATTATCTATGTACCACGGGAATTATCAGGTGTTAATACCCACGAGCAATTGGTGTCCCTCGGGCCGAAGGCCCTCGGGACACAAACTTTGCCCTGGGGTATTAACACCTTCATAATTTCCTTGATACATAAATAACTATAATATACACCAAATGGGAAAATAAGTGCTAAAAAATTTCACTGCCTCCTGGAATAGTAACTTTGAGTCTCTTCTTGCTCGAATGGATAAAAATACTATCCGCTCCACTGATCACATACAATTTTTTGGACTTTCTATTTACCCTGAATTGGGGTCATTGGGGAGTCTATATTGATTCGTTCCAATTAAGGTTGAGTAGGTTGTGTGGTCTCCTGTCACGTTTAAAGGTGGTTATTTCACCTGAGTCGTTTCATCTATTTTAATTTGGTCAAATTCAATCCATTTTCAAATATGGAATTTGGCTCATTTTTAGATTTCAGAAACGGAACCTGTGATGTATTCTGCGCTTACATCCTAGAGCCTCTTGGATCAGACTTTTGCGACGTTACTTGTGTTACTTTTGAGATTTTAGTTCGAAATAAAATCCAGGTCCATCGGCCTGGACCGGAACCAAACAATGTCTCAGAGTCGGAACAGTACGATAAAATTGGTTCTACCATAACGGGGAGAGTAGAGAAATAGTTGTAGTGCAGGTCGCCGCGCGTTCGGAAACCTCACACCTTCGTACCTGCTATATTGCATTTCCATTCAACCGAAGTTGGTTTCCTGAGTCCAAGTTGATTCTTCCGCTTACCTTCAAAAACCTCTGTACCTAAATCCCATTCTACGTTCCTTAATTCTTACTGTAACTCCTAGACAATCTCAACTTTGGCTATATGGATTTTATATTGTTGGTGGTAAGGTATAGTATTTTTTTTTTCCTATACGTCAACAATGTGCTTATTTCAGAATCCATGACCAAATAATCGGTAAGGGATTCCGGACATTCACTGCTCCATCAATATCTATCTTGAGACAAAAAAACGACCGACCGATGTGAAAAAGAGTAGGTATTTATACATCACATGGAATTATGATTTGAAGAAACACGCTGGATCAGCATGAATCTCCCACGATAGAGGAGCATTAAGGAATGAAGGAAAGGCTTATGTCCAAAAGTGGATGGTTGGGGCTGATAAGATTACATATAATTGAAAATCGACCTAGAACTTATTAAAGAACAGAATATAAAAAAAAAAACTCCGAAGTTTCCAAAAGGAGAACTTTCAATTCAACTGTAAGGTTTTGAAAATCACATAATATGTAACCAAGTACCTAATTACAAAAAACGCAATACATAAACGTAAGTAGCCTGGAGATTCATGGACACTAATCTGGGATCCACAAAATAACTCAGATGTTCCAATTTATGGAAATATTCCATCAATCGTGCAACAAAAAATTACTTATCGATTTTCCTATTAATAGTCGTCGGATAAAAATGTTCCTAGTGCTATTAGGCCCCAATAAAACGGTTATTGAGAATTGAATAGGTATAGGAAGAAGAATCGTCAGAGAATCTCTCTTATAGACAATATGCAATAAAAGCATCAAATATACGGGGCCTTTGGTCCCATTATCCTCTTCTCTAGTTCAATAAAATTTTCCACTGGATTTAAGCGAAATTAGGCTTTGCTTTTTGCTTCGAGAATTGAATTTCTTGTTACAAAAGAACCTCAACTTAGAATTAAATGACTATGAATGTATGCAGTATTGAATAAAAGTAAAAGAGCATAAACTACATTACGTTGCATACAAATTGACTAAATCATGAATAATATACAAAATAAAAAACTTAATAATGAAACAATATGGCTGCAGTTTTCTACTAAAATAAATAACGCTCGTTTAAGGTAAAACAAACAAAATAACTTCCTATTACGCATATAAAAGGCAAATTTCCTAGCGTTTACACTGTGCTTGATTGGAAAATTTTGCCTTGAGGCTATATAGAGGTGAGAGAATTCATTTACATTTTGCACATATGCCTATTAAACCTGATATGAGAGAATTAATTTGACTGAATTATTCTTGAAAACTGAAAAGTGTTGCTAGATGTTTCATTTATCGGCAAGAAAGCCATGAATGTCAATAATATGTAATTGTTACTTCAATGAATGAATTAGAAACAGCTTCGCGAAGTTTCTTCTTCTTCAAGTGCCTATCCGTTCCGGATGCTGGCGATCAACATGGCTATTCTTACTTTGTTGATGGCGATTCGGAAAAGTTCTACTGTTGATTTGTCAAACCACGTTCTAAGATTTGCTAGCCAAGATATTGTCTTTCGGCCAGGTGCTCTCCTGCCATTAATTTTTTCTTTGTAGGATTTCCTGTAGCAGCCCGTATCTATTTGGGTTCCTCATTATGTGGCCGAAATACTGAAGTTTCCGACATTTTATGGTATCTAACAGTTCTAGTTCTTTATTCACCCGACGCATTACTTCTATGTTGGTAATTTTTTGTGTTCAAGATAATTTCAATATTCTCCTGTGCAGCCAGAGTTCGAACGCTTCAATTCTCCTGGCAGTCTCTTTAGTGAGTGTCCAAGTTTCTACGCCATACAGAAGGACCGAGAAAACGTAACAACGCAAGAGTCTCAGCTTCATGTCCAACGATAGATTATGGCTTTTGAAAAGCGAGCTCATTTCAATAAACACAGAGCGGGCCTTTTCGATGCTACATCGTATTTCTTGAGAGTTGTAGAGTTGTCCCATCTCGTTAATGATTGTCCCTAAGTATGTGTACTGCCTTACTCTTTGTATTCTACTGTGAGTGATGTATAAACTGTCTTCCGCAATGTTTCTTTTACTTACTATGAGGAGTTTGGTTTTGTTTATGTTCATTTCTAACCCGTACTATGAGCTAATTCTGGTCACCCTATCCTATCAAACTTTGTAATCCTTGAAGAGTATCTGCGAACATGATGGTGTCATCTGCATATCTTATGTTATTAAGTTTAGTACCGTTTATAGTGATTCCTTCCTCAATGTTGTCTAGTGCTTCTCGAAAGATGTATTCTGAGTACACGTTAAATAAGATGGGCGACAAAACACAACCTTGCCTCACTCCTCGTAGTATATTTCTGTGTTACTGCCATCAATTCTCAAAACTGCCGTCTGGTTCCAATATAAGTTTATAATTATGTTTAAATATTTTTGATTCATTCCTATTTGCTTCAGTATGTCGACCATTTTATCGTGTTGGACTCGGTCAAAAGCTTTTTGATAATCAATTAGGCAAGCATATACATCACAGCTGACATCCCTACATCTCTGAAACAACACCTGAACACCAAACAGAACCTCTCTTGTACTGACGGCGTTCACAAACCCAAACTGGTTCGGTGAAATCTGTTCTTCACAAAGTCTATACAGGATGGAATTTTTAAATGGAATAAAATTAGTCTCAGAAAACCTGTTTATTTTTTGGAAAAATTTAAAAAAACGGGTCCCTTTATTTTTAGTTTGGCACATTTTTTCGGCCTTTTCATGGAATTTACCCCTCTCTTAAGGGTAGAAACCACCCCCAACTTTTTTTTTCAAATGTAAAGATATGTATTGTGATAGCTCGTTGGAATGGGCATAAAAAAACGAGAATGGCCCATCATTTACTTTTGCATTTCGGTGATCTAGAAAGCGAGAAAAAAATTAAAATATATTTTTCCACATAATTTTTTTCCAATTAAAATTGTTGAATATCTTCAGCATTTCTTCTTGGTAGAACCCTAATGCAAAACAAATCCCATTTGTAGCGTTATGTAATTATTTCTGACGTTTACACACTATTTAATGCCTGATACTCGGATTCTCAACCCTAAAATAGTGTAATAATGTCAAAAGTAATTACATAACTAGATCACCGAAATGCAATAGTAAATAATGGGTCATATTCCTCTTTTTATGCCCATTCCAATGAGCTATCACAATAAATATGTTTACATTTGAAAAAAAAAAAAGTTGAGGGTGGTTTCTACCCTTAAGAGAGGGGTAAATTCCATGAAAAGGCCGAAAAAATGCGCCAAACTAAAAATAAAGGGACCCGTTTTTTTTTATTTTTCCAAAAAATAAACAGGCTTTCTGATACTAATTTTATTCCATTTAAAAACTCCACCCTGTATATTCTTTTGTGTATTATCTTGAGCAACAGCTTTAAGAGATGACTCATCAAACTTATTGTTCTAAAATCACCGCAGGTTTTGGCACTTGCTTTTTTCGGCAGTGTGATAAATTCTGACCTTAACCAATCCGCTGGAATTTCTCCTGTTAAGTAGATGTTGTTGAATATTCTGGTCAGCCATTTAATTTTATCCTCGTTAAGTAACTTTAGGTATTCAGTCTGTATTTGATCCAGACCAGCTGCTTTCCGTGGCTTCATTTCCGAAATGGCGGCTCTCACCTCGTCAACAAGAATTTCCGGTCCCTCTCCTACAGTTGGTTTTTGTTCTTTGCGTACATCATGGAATAGATTCTCTAGATGTGTTCTCCAGGCCTCCTTCTTTTTCTCCGCGTCAATGATGATTTCTCCTGCTTCGTTGACCAAAGGTTTACAGTTGTTTTTGTGGCCTTTCCTTGTTACTTCTCGGACTTTCCTGTGAACATTGAAGTCATCGAGCATGTTTTGATGGTGTTCGATCTCGCGACATTTTTCTTATAGTTCTTTTTTTTTCGCTTTCCTTATTTCCTGTTTTATAATGCATTGTATGCGTTTATATTCCGTTGGATTTCCTTTATTTTGTCTTCATTCTTCCATCAAGTTTAATATTTCTGTCGTCATCCAAGATTTTCCCTTTATTTTGTCCGGTTTCAATATTTCTTTCTTTAGTGTTTCTACTGCTTGCTTTAATTTGTTGAGTTCCATATCGACGTTGCTGTTTTCATCTGGTTGAATGTTGTCCTTGAGCTTTATTGCTGCTGCTTTCTCTATTGCTGGGGTTTTGAGTCTCTGAAGGTCATGGTTTGGAGTTATCTTAGTGTTGACCTTCTTCATTTTCACCTTAAATACACCAACCAAGGGACAGTGATCTGATCCAATGTCAGCTCTCGGATATGATTTGAGGGATAGGCAGCTATTTCTAAACCTCTTATTGTCTAACATAAAGTTGATTTGGTTTCTGACTATTCTTCCTGGTTCATCCATAGGTGCTTTCCACGTATATAATCTTCTTGGCGGCAGTTTGAACCAAGTGTTCATTACTACGAGTTCATTTGTTGGTGCAAAAAAAAAGTGTGTCCCCTCTTTTGTTTCTTTCACCTAGTCCATGTGATCCTATAACGTCTAATGTATGACCTTCTCCCACTTTTGAGTTAAAATCGCCCATTACAATTGTGATATCATGCTTCTTCAGTTCTTTTAGTATATTATTGACTGTTGTGTACATATTTTCCACTTCTTCATCTTCTTTATCCAGCGTAGGGGCGTATATTTGTATGATGTTCATGTCAACAAGACTTGCTCTTATTTGGATGAGTGCTATTCGCGAAGTTTAGCAATCAAAAACTCCTTCAAGAACAGCTCGCCTCAAATCTATGGAGAAACCATTGTATTAGGAAATATATCAGGAGCTAAATTCTGAACAGGAGACTAGGAGACCGCTTCATCCAAACAATTCACTTACCAACTAGGGCAATCAAAAAGTGAGCCACACAAGCCCACTCCATTGTCTAGTAACAGATATAGAAAAGACACTTGCGGCGAAAGAAATTGCTCTTATGGCTTTTATCGACAAAGAGGGGACCTTCGACAACACCTCAAAGAAAAGCCCTTGAGTAGTAGAAGCTCCCAATATAGAATGGACGGAGGCCAGGCTAAAAAATCACTACCACGATTGAATGTTAAAGGCTGCCCGCAATCAGCAGGGGGTGTCCTCCCAGTTCAGCTGTAGACACTAGTGGCACAGAAAACTTCCTGGCCAGTCTGAGCAAAGCCGGATCCACAGTCTTAAAAGCTACGCAGATGATCTAGCGGTTATATTAGAAGGAAGGTATGATAACAGGCCGAATGCAAAGTGCTTTGAAAATAATCATAAATTGAAGCGAGGGAAAAGAACTATCCAAAAATCCCATCAAAACCGCCTTAGTTCCGTTTACAAGATAGCTAGATCTTGGGGCACCCACTCTAAACAGAACATGTATATATTTCTCAGATGAACTAAAGTACCTATCTTGCCAATCTGTGGGAATTGTTTTGGTATTCCATATTTTTGCAATGAGTCTATGCGTGTGACCAACCACGTCACGTTAGTTTTGAATGGGTTTTTGAGGTACCTACCTTATTAAAGGTAGTCATCTACATTGGAATCTCTGTTCAGGAGTTCCTGAAATTGATTCTTCCATCGAGAGTTAATAGAAGCGGGATCTTTGAGTAGCTGGGTCAGGTCCCATTTCTAGATCTAAGAGGAACTTTCTGGGGAGGGACATAGATGGTGCCTTTGTGGCGTTGTAGAAGGCTCTAGTGTTGTTAATGGCCGCTAAAAAATTCCAATTTAATTTTTTAATTTAAACCACCTGTTTTTTAGCATTTTTGTCCTTCTCTGTACTATAGCCTTTTATGGAAGATATGTTTGTTTCTGGCGAGCTGATTTTGGTTCGTTTTGCTAGATATTGTAGGTTCTATTCTTCTGATTGACGTGCTATGTTCTACAACAAACCAATCCTGATATCTCCTTATGAAGAAGCCCGTTGATTTCTTGCAGGCAACTATTGATCAGTGCTGATCGATATCGCCGGAATATTTAGCAGACAGTTTCTCATTCATTAGAAAATGGAAGTTTGTTTTGGTGTCTACATATTAAGCGACCGGAACCTCAATATTTAACTTGCGTTGTGGTCATTTCCTTTGTTTCCGCCGTTTTGGTGGTACTTGTATATTGAAGATAACAGATAGGACAATTCGATAATCAGTTCAGCATTCGTCAGCATCTATTATGGCTCTGGCCACTTTCACGTTACGTTGGTGCTTGATGCAGACAAATAACCTAGTAGATGAGATGACAGTGCTTTGATCTGACAGTGATTTTGCCACGTTATTTTCAGTTCATTCTTTTGACGAAACAGAGAAGAAAGTATTTGTGATGACGAGGTCGTGCTCTGAGCATTTGGTCAGTGGAAATATACCATTCGATACCATGTAAAATCTCTTCAGTTCACATGTTCTCCGTTATGGTATGTTACTGTTGTTGGTGTCCCTGAGAGAGAGGACGTTCCAGACTATGTTTAACATTTATACCTTTTTTGTATTTCGACCTCATGTGGTGTAGGTACCTTCTAGACTCGGTTATCCAGTCAGGTTATGCTTAGGCTGACTATGCTTAGGGAACCTTTTCTAGCCCCCTCTCAATGCATAGTGAGCAGACTAAATCCTAAATATTGCTGCTCCATTAGAGATAAAGCACACAAGTTGCTTAACAGCCTAAAGTTCGTCACTAAGGCTGCTAGATTACGCAATCCTGCGCACAACTTGCCGATAGCCGCAGGGCTTTGCTGCGATGAACTGATGGTATTGTCCTTCAAGGACGCCTGTGCGTGGGAATTTTAAGCTTGTGGATGTTGCTGTATGTCATATCCCACCGTTTTTGACAGCTCCAAAATCTTGGCACAGTAGCATAGCTGTTGAGGCTCTACGAGCTTCAAGGACATAATGGATCAGCCGCCCCTAACATGGGATGAGATACTTCAGAGGTTCTTACGCCTATTTCCATAGCCGGTGACGTAACCTCCGTAGGCCTCCATAAGTTGAAGACTACCAACCTTTTAGTCTCCTTTCAGAGTGTGCCTGAGATACCGGATACCCCATGCAGGTGGGTATTACCTACTTTTTTATTTTTCTAGACTAGGAGGTAAACAAACAAGAAGAAAGAATCCCCCGGTTATCGGGGAAGTAGAACACAAAATAGATTTTTGTGAGGTGGGGAATTTATGAGAATAAGGTGAGGACAGCGGACAGCTGACATCACTGGCTGTACCGACTACACATTTGGTAGCAATAATCAATCTCACAAATGGAATAGGCGATTATCGCTCAGACAGGCCTTCTACATTATCCACAAGTAGATAAAGCGAAATAGCTGACCTACTTAATTTACGGCTTCAAAAGCAAAACAATAAGTGGTGGAAAAAATCGACCGTGAAATAGCATCCGAATTTGATTTATTCTCTGGGAAAAGCTTGCATGAAAGTGAACAAAACCATGAAACGTGTCCCTAGCTCAAATCGATGCTGGTTAAACAAATATACAAGGCAATGTGGCTGCCCCTACGCTTTTGTTAATGTGTGACATACACGATAATTGCTAGTTATTTTGAAAAAGATCTTTCCTTAAACCTCACTTTCGACTAATGAAATGGAAGAAAACTATTTTAATTGTCACAATTTGGAACATTTCCAAAATTGCAGAGTTTCAAACTGAACTCATTAAAAAAATATTATGTTATGTAGTTTAGATGCATCCTAATTCAGGCATAAACTAAAATGTTTGGTAATTTTTAAGGAAAATTCTTAGGTAGACAATTTAACCTTTTATTTATTTCACTGTGTATAATTTTCAATAATGTAAAGGAGTAAATGGCACATAGTAAAATAAATATTTAAACTATTCAACTCCAACACAACTTCCATTGTACTGTCATTAAGCCGCATTGAAATGGAATGCCTACTTAACTCGAATTGAATTGCACAGTTGAAACCATTAGAGGCGTAAACTGAAACGAATGTTTTTGAATTCGAAAGGGAATACATTTCACAACAACATTTCCGGCTTAACAAAACAAATTAGTCAAACCCGGAAACAACGCGGCAAAGCGCAAAAATGTGTGTTTTGGATAAACGTGGTGTAGAGTTTGTTACGGTTTTGTGGTTTTCACAAATCTTTAGTTTTGAATCAAAGTGTGGTGTGAATGCACAAGAGGGGTCAGGTCAAGTTTGCATTTGGTACCGCCCCGATCTGAAAACAAAATATTTCATAATTGTGAAATATGCACATTTTGCACGAACAAATTTTACACCACCCCTCCCCCTCCGAAGTACTACAGCTGTTTTTCAAATGGGGGGCAAAGCTGACGTTTCCTCCCCCGTATAAGAACAAAAAATTACTAATACGCTACTAGAAAACCTCATTTTCGACCCCTAAACAAGAGAGAAAAATGGTTATTTTTCTCCCAGGAGGATTTTTTTCCTCCCTTGGAGCAAATATTTTCCTCCCTCTTAATTTGTGAACCACCAAATTTGCAGAAAACTCGTAGGTATATAAATGGTTCTTCATATATTAGTAGAAAATAACAGTAACAGAAATATTAAGTTTGGTAGAGAGTGGAGGGTAAATATTAATTTTTTGATGCTCTATAACTTTTTCTTTTTTCTACAAAGCTGTGCAAAATTAGTAGAATATAACAGTGGAAGAATCATTGGTTCAGGGCGGGAAGGCAATATTAATTTAGTAAAAAAGTTTTTTCCGGGCTATAATGCTTTGACGTTGTTGGGCCTGCGTTATTTATATCCAGGGTTGTGGGCGTGGCTTGTATTGGGCTATTTTCCTTGTCTCGTTCTCGAAAAGGAAAGATCTTTGTTTTTCGGAGAACTGAAACCAGCTCTTGTTAAGGTTCATACCCTCTTCTTTTTTGTTGAAGTTGTTGTGGTGTTTCTGTATCTCTATGGCTTCTCTGTGGAGTCTGGTGTAAAAATGTTTGCTTCTATCCTTCTTGAGTCTGGTCGAAACGAATAACATGGTTTGTTTGCGTAAGCACGTGTTCGGCGATTGCTGATCTATCTATTTGTCCCTGCTGACAGTTTCTTTGTATGTATGTATTTATGTATGTATGTATGTATGTATGTATGTATGTATGTATGTATGTATGTATGTATGTATGTATGTATGTATGTATGTATGTATGTATGTATGTATGTATGTATGTATGTATGTATGTATGTATGTATGTATGTATGTATGTATGTATGTATGTATGTATGTATGTATGTATGTATGTATGTATGTAT